ATTTGTTCTTTTTGTTTTTGATATAAAATAAAAACTAGTTAAGTTTGATTTATTATATATTTTTTGTTTCTCTAGATATGTCGGTTTTTTTATTTGTTATTAAGTAGAACTTGAAAATTAGTTTGCAACGATTAAGAATTCATATTCATTATCTTCATGTTGCAATAAACATTTCGATAGCATGAGTTGAATAATGATCTAGAAGTTGATATAGACTTATTTAAATCGAATTATTGATAAATATATCAAGTTAAATATTATCACGTAGTTTTTAAATTGACACAGGCTATTTCGAACTTTTTGTTTCAAAGAAAATAATATATTAAAGCAATATTCAAGTAAACAATAGTCTCATATTCAAAGAATTTCAAAAGACGCAAAAATGAAGCATAAAATCTTCTATTTTGTAGATTTAAAAATTATGGTAGACGACGATTCAATGAATGACGATGATGATGATGATCAACTTGATGTAAAAAAAATTTTTTTTTTTTACTTTCATTTTATTTTAATTTGATTTTCTTTTCTAAAATAGATTCCCGATAATACAAAACATATTACATCAATTCAATTAGGTCAAATTGATATTGATTGTTGGTATCATTCACCATATCTTGATACAGATGAGAATTCAAATGAAAAAAATCGTACTATTGATAAATTATATATTTGTGAATTTTGTTTACGATATTTTCTTAATAATAAAAATTATCGACAACATATGGTAAATAAAATTTATATTACAAAAAAAAAACACAGAATGTTCTACGACTCATCCGATACAGAATTTCTTACCGATCAGGATGAATGTTATTTTTTCTTTCAAAAGGTCGATCATAAAAGTTTTTTTTTTGCTGATATTGAGAGAAGTTCACAAAAAATTAAATTCATTCCGTTTCACTTTAGGACTTCTCAAGCTACTATAATTTTCATAAATTTTACTCACGTTAGTTCTTTTTGAGTGTGAGTTTAAGTGGAATATAGACATCTCCTACCTCCGAAGCAGAAACAACAAACTTCGAGACTGACATTTCTATTGCGTTCCCTAGCATACATTATGTCAAGCTTATACTTCCTATTGTCAGATTTGTAGAAGAAGTGTTAACATAGAAAAGGAAACCGAGATAACTTAAGTTTTTCGTGGACCTATGGGAACGAATAGAACGGTGATGTTACATAAGCGTTTTTTATACGCTTGTAAAACAGTAGAAAAGTGATAACTAGACGGATTATAACGAAATACAGTCAAAATTGATGCAATAATATACCATTTTCGATGATCTGAAAGATTACTCTAAATAGAAACTAAGAGACAAAAAAAAAGTACTGAAAACAATCACTATACCACTAATGTAGTGATTAGGACGTAGATTTGTCGAATAGAGAGGTTAACGTGACTATTATAGAATTGGAATAATAAAGAATGACTTAAGCCGGTCTGTCTGCTATCGGAAGCAAAAAAGCTCAATTTATTCGAACGTTAATAAAACAGTTTCGAGTCGAATTAACTAATCGAAAGTCAATAAAAAAACAAACTGTATTACCTAAAGTTCATATTTAGTGAAATCGTACTACTTTTAATCCATATCAATCGATTTATCATCTTGAAATCTATATCGAAAAATCTTTATTAGACTTTAATCTTTGATTTTCTTCATAATCTAATTTTAATTTTAGAATGAATGTAATCGACGTCAACCACCTGGTCGTAAAATCTATGAAGATTTGAATGGTTTATCAGTATATGAAGTTGATGGAAATACATCTGAGGTAGACATTTGATAGAAAGAAATTTCTTTAGAATTTCTTTATACGTCATTTTAGCTTTATTGTCAATGTCTTTGTTTATTAGCAAAATTATTTTTAGAACGAAAAACAATTTATTTTGATGTTAGTCCATTTCTTTTTTATGTTTTGGTTGAATCTGATAAACGAATGAAAAATGTTCAGCATATTATTGGTTATTTTTCAAAAGTAATTTATTTTTTCAATGAGTTTTTAGAGAAAAGAAAATTTATTTTATAGGAAAAATTAAGTGATGAATTTTATAATTTGGCTTGTTTAATGGTATTGTGATTATATTATGTTAAGTATTTTTATTATAAATATTTTTCTTTTTTCTTAGGTATTACCTCATCGACAACGACAAGGTTTTGGTCGATTTTTAATTTCATTAAGTAAATTTCTATTTTAAGAAAAAAAAAAAATCTCTACTCTTCATTAAAGGTTATGAATTAACTAAACTTGAAAAGAAAACTGGTTCACCAGAAAAACCATTATCAGCTCTTGGTCAAATGACATATAAAAGTTATTGGCATTCGACAATATTAACAAAACTTGATGAATATCGTCATTCACAAACACATGCTACAGTTACACAATTAAGGTTTAAATAGATTGTTTTTTTTTATACAACATGATCTAAAATGAATGCTGAAGTATACGGAGAAAAATTTGAACCTCACACAGATCGTGAATTACTTTTATATTTTCTGAACTACAGCAAAGATCATATAAAATAATATGTGGTTATACTAATGTATGTTTGCATGCACGTGTTTAGTCACGCGTACGCACATATATACATATATCTACAACATTCGAGTAACTATTTTAAATGACTACTTTATGCTTTAAGTTCAACTAATCAAGTATTTTCGTTATCCAACTTTCGTTCAATCATTTATCTCGGACTAGCAGATTTGAGTGTAGTTGTGGATATAAAAGTGATTGATTGGATAGATGAAGAATGGTATCACATAGCATGCACACTCATTTTGACACATGTATCTGATGCTAAGTAGTATCGATTGGGCTTGTAAAATAGTATATTATGTAAAAAAAGATTTGAATATTCAGTCGAGGATCAAGCCAATTGCAACTATGAGTATTACTGGTTACATTTCTGGAGGATTAAATCAAGTGAAGAAATGTGTTCTACATTTTAATCTTGCAGAGATTCTGCTAACAACTTTTTTTTTTCGTTTAGTATGGATACGGGCATTTGTATTGAAGATGTTATTCAAACATTAATTGATCTTCAATTAGCCCATACGGGTACATCAACAATAGAAACACATTATAAACAACAAGAAGCACGTGATCAACGTCATCGTCGTCGTCAAAAATCAACTGGTGATTATGATCAAAATGATAATAATAATAATAATAATAATACACTTAATGTTAATGCTGTATTAACTATTGATGAAGATCTTTTACATTCAAGTATTGCTCGTTTATCAAATGAAAATTCATCATTAAAAAATGATCAACATATTTTTGATCGAAATTATTTACGTTTCATAAATCGACGATGAAAAAGAAAAATTTTATTTGTATATATGATCTGTTGTCCTATTGAATGAGATGCGAAGTATATATATATATATTGTTGTTGTTGTTGTTGTTGTTCTGTGAAGTTATGTATAGAAACAAAGAGTAGATTGTATGAAATATCTCGATATTAAGTTTATGTTTGATATTGATCTTAATAAAGACATAATCATCAATATTGTACCAAAACTATAGGATGTATCTATGTATTATCAACTGTTTGCTCTTGACAATGATTGTAGTAGATAATTTATAAGTAACAGAAATCTAAATAGGCTATTAAGTCTGTCTATTGAAGATAGATAAAAATCCTAATTTTTATATTGGTCACAACACTTGAATAGAAGAAATTAATTTTCTATTATTATTATTATTCTTTTGACTAGACACAATCATGACTAATAATTCATTGTGATTAGATTGTTTATTGTCTATTTATTTAGTTTAATTAACGTTCGCACTTTCTAATCGATAATGATTATTTTTGATGAATCGTTGATTAATCCTAAATGTTTTCTTTTCTTTTTTTTGTTAATCTGTTTCTGACAGTCAAACACTGTTCAATTATCATTATAATATTGTGACACAAGTCGCGGATACCCGAACTATGCTTATTCGGATCTTTGATGAGTATTGTATAGAAAATTGAAAAGAAAAATTTAATTATGTCATTCAATCATTAGTTTTAACATAAATCTATTATTGATTTCTGTCAGACTTAGTTCAGTGATTACGATATATTTCTTGTTTATCTAGCCCTTAAGAATTTCAATTTTGAAAATAATATAATTTCTTTAAACTTTTATAAAGTACAGATGCCTATTACAGCGGCAACTTTTTTTTTTTGGAAGACAGTATATAACTGCATGAATTTTCAAGAGATTTCACTGTTCAAAAATGTAACATCTTGATATTCCATGCATTTTATGTATCATTTAACAACAATTCTACTTCGTTCAATACGATTACAACCATGAAGTTTAAAACATTTTTTGAATATAATCAAGCTTTAATCGAAGAAAACTAAAATTCGTTCTTATAAAATTTTTATATCTATTACTTACAAAAAGAGATTATAAACATAAATTTTTTTGGAATATAGCATTCTGTTTGTAGCCAAAAAGGGTACATACAAGTTTCATTACAACATGTTTAACAAAACATGCACGTAGTGTTTATTTCATCGATAATGCCTTTAATTCTCTGTTGAATGACAGACATAAATTGAAATTCTTCATAAATCTATCTATGTAATACTTTCAATAAGGCAAACATAATCAGAGATTTTCTATAGTAAATATTTTTATAATAATACGATTGATACTTTAATTCGATTGGTATTCAATAGTTGTTTGAGCTAGAAAAATCTCAACCATTTGTGACAAGAGACTGAACTGTTTCTAACTCTCATCTGGTTATGCTACTTTAAATGGTAGCAATATGATTGCAAACATTATAAATAACTTCTCATAACTGATAAAGAAAAAAATATTTTTCATTAAAATTTTTCATTAGTTTAATAAAAAAAGGATTTATTATAACAATGAATAAATAATAAAAAAAAAATAATTCTTTTCATAAATTTTGTCTTTTAATAATTGAAAAACAATTTTATATTTCTAAACAAAAATATCAAAATATTTATTTGTGATAAATCAATATTTTTAGATATCTGAATGTCCAAGAACTTGATTTTCAAAAGAATTTATACCATCAACTTCACATACACTAAATTTTCCTCGTCGATATTTGTCTCGAGATTTATGAATATACATAAGAATTGCATCACAGACAATTCCAGCTATTACCATAAAACCAATACCGGAACCTTAAAGTATAGAAAAAAAAAAAAATTTTTTTTCATTAAAATAAAAATCAATAAATCATACCAATAGCTATAAATAAATTAACAATATTAAATTGTCCACCTTTCCCTGTTATAGCAATAACAAAACGTAAACCATAAACTTTCGATAAAGTTCGATAATTTGTGCCATTGATACGATATCTATTAGCATATCTATATAGAAAATCAAACAATCAATCAATAAAAAAATTTTTTTTTTCCTTAAAATTTTCCTTAATACCGATAATTAATTCCTGGTGATTGTTTATCATCACCACTTTGTAATACAGAAAATTCATAAGTTGGAGTACATTTTTTTGGATTTCGATCAAAATTACATATCCAATCTTGACGAATTTCTATTAAACCACCCTAGAAATATTTGTTTTTATTATTATTACATAAAGAGATAATTATCTATTGTAAATTAATATTTACATCAAGTAGAAGAGCTGTCTTATTAGTATTCAATTGATCAAGAATATAACCAAGACGAATTATAGGACAATCCGCTGTATGAGCAGTACCATCGAATCGACATGAAAAATTGGTTGTTTCTTGAATATTTCGTCTTAAAAACAAATTTTTAAATAAAATTTAATTCTTTAAAATAATATTTAATTAATCAACAAACAAATTTCTTTTGAATAATGAAAATGTCACCATTGTTTTCAAAAAAATTGTAAAATTTTCTAAATCTGTACTATTCATCATATAATCTCTAGAAAAAAAAAATAAAATAAAATAATTAATTTTCAAAAAATAAAATAAATAAATTCTTACATTGATTCAGAAAGTTCTTCTGGACACCATCCTTCCATTTCACATACTTTTATTGTCTCATCTTCTAAACTTTGATTACAATTTCCAGTAAAATAACCTATGAAAAACAAACAAAACAAAATAAAAAATTTATTTTTGAAAATAAAAAAAAAAAAAAAATCTTTACCAAATGTATTTGGTGTAGGTTTATCTGTTTTACAAGCTGATTTATCAGTATCATTACAAAATAATTTATCGGCTAAAGCCTATTTTCATAGTAACAAAAAAAGATCAAATCTTATTCAAAAATAAATTCTCTTACAGTTGGACATCGACCTTGTTTTTGATCATAAGTAACTGTTTGACGTGTCGCAATAAAAAATGCATTATTTTCCTAAATATAAAACAATAAGATATACAAAAATAATATTCTATTAACATACAATCGCTGGCATTTCATATTCAGGTGTATCCCATACATATTTTGTATCCTCACCTAGAATATTTCATTTAATTCAAGATTTCTTTCTATTAATTAACAAAAAAAAAAAATAATAATAATAAATAATTTTACTTGTATAAAAAGTTGAATTATTTCCAATAGCTCTGGCAATTCCTTTAACTTTAATGACACTTGTTCCACGAGGTTCTTGAATTTGTTGATAACCTTTTTTCCATATAACAATATAACTAAAATACAATTTTTTTTTTTTAAATTTTAATATTATTTTTTTTTTTGTTTTTTCTTTTGATAATCTTACCCAATAATATATGCCAAAATAATTAGTTGAAGAATACGATGAACTATTGCAATATATGTATGAGGTACTTTAACTAATTTAACTGTTGAATAAGTTAGAAGTACATTAAAAACGAATGAATGTAAAGCATTTTTAGCTAAAAAAAAAACGAGTTTAAATCAAATAAAATTTAAAACAAAAAATTCATCATACCTGCTCCAGCCATTGTTTTTCTTTTTAAATAAAGATAAAAGACAGTGTCATTACAGAGTGAAACAATAGTATTTGTAGGGAGAGAGTCACAATCTTATCAGTGATAAAAAGAAAGAGCTACAAGTTGATCTTTGCACAGCAATGCTTAATAAAAAAAATTCAAATTTCAACTAATATACTTTGACCATTGATATTCATTACCACACATAATTTTTATTTCGATAATGTCACTCATTTTAATGCGACAGAAATTATTAGTGTAAACAAGATTTCGATAGATGATAGATGGCTAACCGAAGCTCGGTCTATTATATATGGATTTTTGGTAGAGTTAGGCTTATAAGGGGTTCGATCGGTAGAAAGAGGAATTTGACCTTCCGTTGGTCACACGAATAATAAAAATATTCATATTGATTTTCTTATGCTTCCAATGGTATGTATATAAGTAATACAAATTTGATTTTTATTTTTTCATCATCATTAAATTCTCTAAAATAATCAAAATAAAAAGTCTTCTTTATTTAATTTAATCATTTATAAAAGAACGAAAACAAAAAAAATTCTAATAAATAGTAAATTGAATAATAAAAACCAAGTTTATTATATAAAGATCTTCTTGTTGAATATTCGCTGAAAAGACTAGAAAACATGAACAACAATCAATTATTCGTTAAGACAAATACTAAGGAAATTTCTCATCAAATAAGAAATAACAATATCATAAACATCATTTATTTTAGTTCTTTTCAAATTGATTCGATTGAATTACGAAGATTCTTTAGATTTATTATTATCAATAAGTTAACGGCATATCTTTTGAAAAGAAAATGTTGATGTTATCATTTATCTGTGTAGAGAGATATACTTGAAAAATATACTTTAAATCGAAATAACATAATTATTATTTCAAGGTTAAAACGCTTTTTTTTTTCTTCTATTTTTCTTTAAGTAAGAAATGTTTGGAAGTCATTTTATCCATCTAATAATTTTTTTCTTATTATCTAATGAAAAACAAAAAAAAAAAAGAAATTCTTCTATTTCCTACAAAACAAAAATAAATACGCCTGACTACGAATAAATAATAAGAAAATCATTTCATTTGTAAATATTTTTCTATTGAAGAAAAAAACAAAAGTAAATTAAATTTTCAAGTAAACCAAACATTTTACAATAAATAAAAAACTTTTCAGAGATTGAAGAAAAAAAAAATTTTATCATTAAATTATTATGACATATATTTATTTGTATTTAACCTATTGCATGAGTTCTAATCAATATTAAAGTTATTTGATTAAATTAACTAATTGAATAGTACCTAAAGATATTCATTGATGTACTCTGAATTTTATCGACGAGCAAAAAAAAACTTAATTTTATAATTCAATATGAAAGATTTTTCAATAATTGAAAAGAACGAAGGTTTTTTTTAAGGCCAGTTTTCATCACCGGATATTATTTTTATGAATAATAAGAACTTATTTCATAGATATTTGAGAGACAAAAAAAAATATATATAAGAAAGACATTGTAAATGTTACAAACATCTACACATATACACACACACACATTGACAAAGGAAAAAAAAATATAATAAATAAATTTATGTAAATTAAAATTCATGAAATTCTTTTTCATATAAATTAACTGATGAACGAGCTGGTTCTTCATCTTCAGCATCAGGAAAATTATTTGCACGTATATCAGGTAACCATGGTGCACGAATTTTTTTTAAATATATTTGTAACCAATCAAGATCACGAAACCAAACATGTTTTTTTATATCATTTATACCATTGAACATCATACCAAATCTTTTTGTTAAATCTTTTTGTAATAAACCACGAATTATATCAACTAAATTATCAGAAAATGCTGAACGAGGACGAAATTTTCCATTGATTATTTTATGATATATTTTTTGTTGATCAGCATCCTAATAATCAAAATATTATATTGAAAAGAGAAAAAAAAAAAGTAGCAAAAGAATCTTTTACCCAAAATGGTGAATAACCAGCATTCATTTCAAATATTAACACACCCAATGCCCAATAATCAACTAAAATATATTCAAAAAAAAAAAAGAATGATAAAATAAAATTCTTTTTTTTTTTCTTTTTCTTACCTCCCATATTATATCCACGACCAAGAATAATTTCTGGTGCAAGAAATTCAGGTGTACCACAAAGTGTATATGCTTTACCACGATCAATTTTTTTTGCAAATCCTAAATAATCAAAAAAACAAAAAAAAGAATTTTTTTTTTAATGTAAAATTATTGAAACAAAATTTTTTACCAAAATCACACATTTTTATATAACCATGTCGATCAATGAGTAAATTTTCTGGCTAAAAAAACAAACAAAAATTCATTACTTAATAAAGATAAAAGAAATAAATTTACTTTAAGATCACGATAAACAATTCCTAATAAATGAAGATATTCAAGTGCAAGAATAATTTGAGATGAATAAAATTTAGATTTTTTTTCATCAAATTTTTCACAATCACGTAAATGACGAAATAATTCTCCACCTTCAATTAATTCAAGTCCAATATAAAGATTTGCATTGTCTTTAAATGAAAAATAAAAACGTATTATAAATGGAAAATGAAGTGATTGTAATATTCGTTTTTCATTAACAACATGATCTTCTTGTTTCATTTTATGTGCACTTTTCTTATTAATTATTTTAAGTGCTATACGACGAGATTTAGATGAATTATCATATACTTGAATATAATCAGGTATTGGATCACGTATATATTTGACTTCTTTAACAGAACCAAATGCACCACGTCCAAGTGGTCGAATAACTTGAAAATCACGATAAACTAATGTAAATGTAGCTGGGGTTGCATATCGATTATCGAATTCTTCACGAGCTTGTTTATATAAGTCACTCGAAACAGCTGTTGTTGTTGGTGTTGATGGTGTTGAATTATTCGTTGATGAAGACGGACCACTACCCATTGGAGCATACGTAAGAAGAACTAAAATAATATATATATATATGTAAATTTATTATGTTTTAATAGTGAGTTTAAAAAGAATATTACAAAAAATAAAAATAATCTAGGAAAATACATAATATCTTCTTTATATTTGTTTATTCTTATGAAGAAAGAGAAACTAGAATGAATGTTAATTAATAGTTAAACATATATAACAATAAAAAATGAAAATTCTTGACCTTGAAGTTAATCAAAACATATTTGACCGCATAAAACAAAAAAAAAATACTAGTTTTCATCAAATGAAAAATCTAGGGACAAATTAGGATGTGAATAAAGAAAAAAAACAAAACAAACATATTTTTGTTGTAAATATAAAATAAAATTATATACAACATTGTGTGGTCTCTTTATTCCTTTTTCATCATGAGCCATGATTATTTTTGTTTTCCTATGCAATTCTATGTCTATAGAACGCAAGAAAATTGATCAGGTATCTTTTGTCTTTTTTTTCTTTCAGAATCTAAACGACATCCTGTTTTCAACTAAAGATTTTCTAATCAATTGTTTTCTATACAGATAAAAGACTCATCAATATATCAATTGATAAAGAATTCTAAGACATTGATTATTTTGTTTTTGTTTTTATTTGAACACGTAATAAAAGAAACACAAAAAAAAAAAAAAAGATGAAAAATAAATCTAAAAATTTTTTCTTTCATATAAACAAAAAAAAAACTATCATAAATCATTTTTTTCTCAAGCATACATTTATATGTATTAGACTTATTGTGATTCTATAAATTTTTTTTTTTTTTTTTTTTGACAAGATAAGAAATAAAAATCATCATAAAGATACTTTGAAATGCAAATGTGACAAGGAAATATAAAATAATATTACACAAAAAAAAAAAGTGGAAATGATGGATGTATTTTTATTATTTTTGTGTACTCAAGCTAAACTCTTATTGTTGCAAAAACAAAATACAAACTTCTCATTTTAATAATTAATTTAGCAAATTTATATGAAAACAAAAAATACAAACGAAGAATCTATACTTCGATAAATTATATTGTTTCTCATAATGAAATAATAAACGATTAAAATTGAAGATGAGAGAAGAAAAATATTGCCTAACGAACTTTTTTAACACGCATCGCTCAAAGCAAGAATATTCAAGCATTCCTCATCGAAGACTTCACTATTCTGCTTTTAATGTGATCAACGAGAACATCAGTAATAGCCTGGGACATAGTTCGTGTTTCCTACATCATCATTTCTCTCTCCTATTGCACGATAAAGTAGTACTACTACTAAACATCACTCAATTCTATAGAAAGACTTATACACGCATATGCTTTTTACCCCAGTTTAATTGAACAACTAACATAAGAACGGAAAAAAAAAACGTTAGTTCGTCTGGAAAAGACCTTTCGTCTATAGAATCTAAACGATTAATGGTCGCAACAAAAAAAAAATAGAAGAAAAAAATCTAGACAACAACCAACTACACTTACTTTAAGGACGACTAGTTTTTTGTGTTTTATGTTAAGAGTAAAATGTTATGAAAATTATATATATATATACTACTACAAGAAAACGAAAACAAAAAAAAAGAAATTTTATTGTTTTTTTCTTTTTATTGAAATATTATGTGTCAATGTTATTGTGTATTCTACAGGGTTAGATGAAAAAAAAATAAAAAACGTGATACTTCTCTCTTTTCTTCTATTACGATTTTTAATTATATCGTGTCCGTCAGAATTAATTCAATGGCTTCTTTATTTTATTGTTCTGTTTCTACAGCTATGGTACACCCACTAATATAAACAAAAGCGATATAAGAAAAAAAAAATGCAAAAAGAATGTCTTCTTGACCTAAGAGTATTATCAAATGTCAATTTTTTAATGGTAAGTATGCTCTTCGCCGAAAACAAGATCGTCGAAAACTCACATCGCCGACTCGACGTGGAAATTCACCGTAAATTTCCACGTCGAGTCGGCGATGTGAGTTTTCGACAATCTTGTTTTCGGCGAAGAGCATTACATTCATTTTAATGTCTTATATTAATATTAAGTTCAAAATTTACAAGATAAAATACGTTATAATTTAGCTTTGTACTAGTAATAGATAAACAACGAAACAAATAATAGGAAATACGTCAATGATACTTGACACATACTAAGTGGTTGACTTCCTGTGTATTGATTTATGCCTTTTGGCATGAACCATACATGAATAAATCTATCTATTCAATCACTTACAAGAAGAACGATTGATGGGTTGTAAACGCTTAAATCGTTCATCAAATTTTTGATTGATAATCATATAAGTACGAAAACGATGGCTACTTGACATTGTATCTATGACTATAGACCAGAATGTTATCAATGTATGTTGTGTTCTTTTTTTTATTATATAGTATATGCTATTATTTAATTTATTGTCTACTTGTGAGGCATCAATGGAATTCATACGTATTAAGTATATTCTGTTGTTATTACGCAGTTGAATAAGACAAGTGGGAGACATTAGGATAGCGAGTATGTGACGAAATAAATATATCAAAAAAAAAAAAAAGAAAAGATTATGTATATAAAAAGACATATACATATTCTTAGTTGAAACACAGTATCTATAAAAAACGACATATATATCTAGTCACAAGTAGACGTAAAGAGTAAAAAAGAAAAGTCTTCTATTTTTTTTTTATCCAAATATGTCACGTATATACAAATAGTAATAATAACATAGTCATATAAAATCTTCTGAATAATCAAATATTTACCTTTCAATGGTGAATCTTTTAGATTATCACGTATAATATGATTTGATGATATACCTTCTAAATGTTGAGAATTTTCAATTTTAGTTGTATTTTCAAGATTATATTTCATTCGTTGTGATTCTTCATTTCCATCTGTTGGTATATCATCATGATGACAATAATAATCATTAAGATCATTTTCATTTAATTTAATATCTTTGGATTTATTAATAGCTAATTTTGAAACAATTTTGTCGAATTTTTTTACTAAACTATTACTCATTATTGTGTCTTGAAATCAATTTAATAGTATTATAGTGAGACGAAGACGATGAATGTAAACAGAATAAATATATATAATATATATATTATATTATTTCATCAGTACCTAGATATAGTCATATATTCTATCGTCCATCTGTCAGAATGAAAGAATATATTTGAATAAAAGAAAGACTTTTATTTGTTAGATAGGGAAATAAGAATAGAAGATAGGGAAAAAAAAAAGATCATAGACACACACAGAGAACTAACTTTCTAGGTTTTTCTTTTGATATGTTCTCTTGAATTAATAAATGTCTTTGGTCGTTTGTCTTTCGTTTCATCTACATCGTCAAAAAGGCAATAAGACATGTATATATTCCATTAGTCGTTCATCGATCCTCATTAACTGACAAGATATATATACATTTCAACTTCATCATAAATTGATAGAAATGACGAGCAAAAAAACTACACTCGTCAATTTCATGCCTAGACTCTGTAATTTGTTTTCTTTGACTTATCATAATATAAACTTGAATGTATTTCTTGCACGTCTATGTAATCTATGAAGAACAAAAATAAAAAAAACAGACAGAATCTTTGTCTTACACTTCTAGTTATGTGTTAGTAATAATTTAATATGAGAAACAATAGGAAAGAAATAACGTATTGAATTTAGGTCAAATTGACACTGATTAATTCTATGTAAATTTATATGAAATTTACGCTTGAAACAAATTCAATTTATGTAAGATTTGTCTAGAGACAAGACAAATAGAATTTACTGTTATTACTAAAGTAAGATAAATTCATATTTGGACACTAGTAAAACTATGAAGCATGTACTCATGAGATTTGATTGATTTTTTTTTCTAGCTTTTTCTGCATTCTCAAAATGTACTAGATAGAATTAGTCAATGAATAAATTATATACTTATGTGTAAATATTGATGCAATAGAGATAATTGTTAGATGTATATGTATTAAGTAAAAAAAAAAAAAAAAAGGCAAACAATATTGAAAAATATAATAATTATTGTTTGAAATGCAATTTAATAAATATATATCTGATAGAAAAATAATATTTACAAAAGTTTTTCTATATTATATATTTATATAAGCAAATAGATATGATGTAGAGAAAAAAAAAAGAAATTCTCTGCAATACAATGATGTTGAAGTTGCATTTTTTTCTTCTTCTATTCTTGACATGTTTGTTCCTGTTCATTATCACCTTTTTGTGTTAAGTTCATTTACTCTTTTGTCTATAATGAAAATGCTTGAAAAATTAAAAACAATTAATAATCAAACAGAAATTATTAGTTCTTCTTTTTTTTTTTTCTCTATCATATCAATTCATCTGTATTATTTTTCTTTAATAAAAATCTTATCTAATAATACTAATTAGATGTAACTAGTGGTACTCAAGCGTTTTCATAGATGATATGTTGTCATTTTTCTATATTCATCTTATGCTCTATTTTTATCTACTAAGTAGCATTCTTACTAGTAATTCATATGATGGCTGTGCGTGCCATTTAGATATGAATCAAAATAAATTAATATCCTCGTGCAATTCTTTAAACGATCTTTATTTCAATAGTCAGTATTTTTTTTGTACGAAGATGTTACTCATCCTATTGATCCTTTTCATGCTTACAGGATATGAGATTAATTTAAGATTTCTGTATGTTAGAATATGTAAATATTTTTTTCTATTTACTTTATACTGCAATTCTATTGTTTACTTGGTCTTATTGATATTCATTCGGTATTCATTTCGCTTTCGTTTTCTACTTATTTATTATTTCTTTTATGACTATTGTGGTACATTCATACAACACGAGCTATCCAAGATTGACATGTGTAATGGAATCATTTATGAATCAAACATAAAAAATTACACTGTATAAAACTTTTAACAACAATTAAGAATATTAAAAATTCAAGACATGTTTTAAAAGACTTAGTAGAGAGCTATAGAGGAATCAAAGTATTATTCATATCACCAATTACATTTTTTTGCATTATTTAGAAGGTGCGAGTGTATAACATTGAGAAAGAACGACTTGGATTACAAAACTTACGTGGGTTCTATAAATATAACTTACAACGACATTGAAGTGTAAAAAATGTCTTTGTAGTAGAGATGACTCAACAAGAACTATTGATTATAACACTATTGCATGGTATTTAACAATGAATTTAAGACTCACTAATAATACGATATAGACAAGGCAAACGTACACAGCACATTTATTTAGTATCATAAACGGTTACTATACTGATTAGCATATTGTATTTGAATGAAGTTGCGATAGGATGTGTCTTGTATGGCTATTGTGTTCACGCTAAAAAGCATCAGAATGAATTCGGATATGAAGATTTACGTGCTGCATTGTATGATCAGGAAGAAGTGTAATCTACTTGTTGCTTACACTAAATCGGAAATTCAGTTAAACTAGAAGGAGAAGCATGAACAAAAATCACGACAATAATGAAGCCAAATAAATAATAACAATAACAGAAAACCACATAGTGAGCGTATGAGAAAAAGAAAGAAAGATAGATAGATACATTAAAATATAGAAAAACATATATTGATCTGCATGTCAAAGAGCCAAACATGAGATCAAAAAACTCAGACGAACGTAATGATAATGATATACAGTGCAGTTACACTTCTTTAAAGTGTATTTTTCATATTGAATTTTTGACTGGAGATAGCCATATACTTCTATTCCCTAATGGTTTGTATTGTCAGTCATCTACTTTTGAAAGAGGTATCTTCTTGAATGTTTACTGAGAAAAATTAGACATGTACGTGAAATAAAAGAATGAATGTGAAAAAAAGAAATTGTGGAACTATGGAAGTTATTATTCATCTTTATTCTTCTATTATCATGATTCAAACACTGAGTTTTTGACATTGATCATAAACAAGAAAGAAAAAATTAGACAAAATAGATTTGTTCTTTTTTTCAATCGTAATTAGCAGAATGTAGAAATGTATCAAAATCTGTTTTTCTTGCAAAAGCAAATTCTCATCTCCATCTATTTACACAACAGGCTGATTAAGGTCCTCGACCTAAAAAAACTCGATTTTCGTCGAAAAAAAAGGATTTTTGAGATAAACTGGGCTAATAATGATGGCAAGAACAATCAATAAAACTTTTTTGTCCAGTGAGATTTGCAAAATAAATCAACGATTGACATGTGTTACATTTATGTTCCACTTTCATTTTAATTAATAATAGAAAGATGACATGAAAAGCGTCTTTTGAGTTTTTCTCAAAATCGTTTATTTTTTGGTAATGATCTAACTTTGAACAAATTTTGTTTGATTCCCGAGAGGTGTGCTTATTTGAATCGACAGATATACGCATTACCTTTCAGATGAGAGAAATCAATTTTCGAATTATTCGTCAATGATAGATTCATCATGAGTTTTCTAGAAAACTATACTTAAAAATTGCAGATGTTTGAGGCTTTAATGATTTTGAGAAATGAAATCGAGTGAAAATTTGGAGAAACAACCTTTTTTCTCATCTGAAATGATAAGAAGTTCTTTTTCAAATGACAATAACTCAAGATCTGCAACTTAATCCCTAGAAATCTCTTGAACAGTAAAGTATGGAGATATGAAATTCTTTTTAAATGTACTTTCACGCATCAAGCATCTATATAGAGTTTCATTGATATTTCATGCAGCTTGACGAAGTTAGATTTTTAAGAGAACCTTTACGACAGTCCTCTCTGTTTCAGATGTTAAAATTGAAATCTTTGTTTTGATTTTAGGTTTTTTTATTACAATATACAGAGCAGTTTGTTTTGTTTTTTCTCTTTTTTTCTCTGGCACAGGAATATCAGATCAAGTTCAGATTTGTTTTGAGTACTTTGGTAAAATTGGATAGTTGTTTTTTTCTCTTCAAAATTTTGTTCTCAAGAAACTCGGTAAGCTTTAAAAAAATAGTACCACTGAAAAAAACATTTTTTTGATATTACCTGATTGTCAAAAAAAAAATCAATTGTAGCTCGATAAAATCGAGCTCAGCTTGTTGTGGAAGAGAAGAGAAGAACTTTTGACTGTTTTTGCCGTTTGTAACCTTCATATCTTCTTGAATGAAGTATCTGAAAATTTATAGTCAATGACATCGTTTGCTCTACTTATCTAGATCTATCTGTCTTGAGAGGTTCATCATTTTTCGCTGAGTCCTTCTCGAGAAATTCTGAAAATGGAAGAAATATCTTCATATGGGAAAGATATGTTTGGAAGCCGAAAATCCAGACTGCAATCTGTATAAGCATCTCTCTGTAGATACGTCTCTATGTTTAATGAATGTCTAATATAAAACAAAATCACATACCTGTTGAAGACAGAACAGTGTCTTCGTCTTTGGTAGTCTTTTCTTGTCAAATTTCAAGAATTTACATAGTTGGTCAAATAAGTCGAAATAAGTTTTGAAGAATACCATTTATTTGATTTTTAAGGTATCTTAAAAATGATATTTTCTATTGGAATACGTAACAAAGAATGATTGCTAACTCCAATTCGATATTTTTCAATAGCATTTTCTTAAAACTTTTTCAACATGATTACTTTGTATCAGATTACTTGGCTAAAGTAATGGTGGCATTAATGAAAGGCATGCATGACCATTACTTGTAGTTTCAAGAGAAAAGTAACAATTAATATGATCAACAAACAACAAGAATTTAAACGTTCAACATCGATCCTTGCAAAATACCCCAGATTAAGATTGTGTCTCCAATATGTAAGAAAACATTTACCAGTTGAATAACAGTTGATTGATGATCAAAAAAAAATGAAAGTTCTTTTTGACTACCACATTTATTAATCATTTCCCGAAAAAAAATCAATTAAAATGTCATAAAATGAAATTCTGCTTGTGTTTATTGGATCAAATAATCCGGGGTGTATCATAAAGTCATTTGTCAATTTTATTTGAATCAGATTTAGAAGTTTGCATTTGCTTTTGTCTATAGTTTTCATAAATC